GATCAAAGGATTGAGTTAAGAGATTTCGAGCGAGATTAACGCAGATACGAGCTGATAATAGTGTCTGAGCGTTGAATCGCACTCAACATAAGATTTATGTTTTATAAAAATATTGGTAAGTGATGACGAAGTATAGATGATGGTTCTTGATTAATTAAAATATGTTCTAGGAATCAAAATGATAATAGAGTCTTCCTGGTGGAACTAAGAGGTACGTTCAAGACAAGATTATAGTGTTGAATAACATTTCATTTCTTTAATGAATGCAAACTCGGAACGTGAGAACTTCATTTTTCACTTGTAAAATATTCAGTGTGAGAAATAAAGTTTTGGTTGAGACGACAGTCGTCAGACCTCAGATTAATTGCTGAACAAAAGTTGATTATTTAGCAATCCTTGCTGAATAATCAAGTTTGCAAACGATGAAAACGAACCGTTTCGAGAAGTTCAATTTTTTCGCGTAACGTTTCCGTTTCGTTTGAAAGTGACGAAGATTCGGCAGCATTTTCACTGGCCGCCATTTGCTTGGCACTGCCCATTTCAGTCTCCAATGGTAACAAATTCAATTGCTGAAAGATGGAACATTTCGAAAAAGTCACAAATGTCTTGAAATCCAGCATTTTGCTTCACGAATACAATTGATCAAAACAGAGCAATATTGAGAAAGTCTCATCTTAAATGAAAGTCAGTTGCAATCGCCTAAGATATCATATCATATTTTGAAGAAGAGAACACCAAACATACATTATGCGATGGTGAGCAGTCGAATGCGCAATGTGAAATTGAATCAAAATCCGTTGAATTATCTTCGCAATCAGCATCTGAAATTTTCGAGAATGCCCAACTTCTACAGCTTCAAAGGGATGAAAGCAAACAATTTTTTTAAAATCTCATTCCAGGACATGCAATGGAAATGATCAGTGCGATAGATGTGATCGACTGAAATCAGAAATCGATAAACAAACCAAGATCAGACTGGCATCTGATCCAGATCCGTGCACGATGCGCGGCAGTCGCTTTGCTGCCACCTCGTGGTGCTGCCGTACCTATACCACTGGCCAGTGGATTTCCGCCACTACTTGTTGTATCTTTGGAAGTTGATAGGCCATTCTCTGTGATTAGTTTACCGTCCAATTCTTCGCCACTAGACTGAATCTTTTTTCACTTCTATAGATCTGCACAGCTGAGGATGTGTAATTATTCTTGTAAACTATCGACCGAATATACCCAGTATCAAGTACTATTGTATTCGTAAAATACCCGGCATAACTTTAAATGTATTGTTGTTACCGTTATTATTATCGTTACTATTATTATTGTACTCATCATTGATACTGGTTATTGGAAAGAACCTCAGAAGTCTCATTGATATTTTTAATCTTACAAACGCCGTCGATTTCATGCAAATAAATATCATAAATTCAAGAAATCACTACACTCAGTGAAATGCAATAACAGCAGTATCAATGGTCCCGAAGATATCATAAGATATCACAGCGGTAATCACTCTCCTCAAGAGATTTATTCACGTTCTAAATAGCTCATGTACCACACCGTACCTGAACGTACCAAACTGAACGTTTGTGCTTACTGTAACAAATTTTCATTTATCTCTACGATGCAATGCTTACCGATCCGTCGGTTGACGTTATGTGGTTGTTAGTTACTGAATTACGACGTCTTTCCCTGGTGCGTCGTTTGTCACATTTCGGTCGAGTTACCGATGCCGAGCCGGATGCATTCGACTTATTCGAGACACGTTTCTCACGTATTTTCTTCATTCATCAATTCCAACGATTCACCTTTTCATATCCTAACTGTGAACGTGACCACGTAAATTAATCGCTTATTAAGCAGCACGTACGACGCAACATCAAACTCACACAAATATGTTAAATGCGTAAAATACGTCAAATACAGGCATCAAGTTCACGTAATTCCGTGAAATACAGATCACAAAGCAAAACATCCAAAAACAAGACTCAATCTCCGTACTTGACGAAATTCGTTTAAAAAAATCGGCATATTAAGAGAGACCGAATGAATATGATTAAAACGATATTAACAAATGCTACAAATTGCAAGAAATCAGGATAAATCCAGTGAAATACAACAGCAACGGTATCAATGGTTACAAAAAAATCACAGCAGTAATCACTCTTATCAAGCGATTTATATAAATAATAATGATCATAACGATGAAGTGACCAATGCAACATCCAAGCGAACCAAAATAAATTTATCAATACGCATTTTCATACAGCTCACCAGTGTGTCACCAGCCTGGCTCAAGACGATTCCAAGTTGAATGTTATTCTCAAAGCATGCATTCATGCATACATGCACCCATTCTTAGATTTTTTTGAATTGTTTTGAATAGCATCTTCCGCAATAACACAACAACACACTGCATTATATCATATCACTGTTATCAGTGTACTACTGTCTGGAGCCTAAATTTTTCTTGATTCCTTATCACAACCCATTGTAATATTAATCAGTCCCAGTACTATCTCTAATACCTTGCCTCATTTGCAGTCAAAAAGCATCTTACAACCGCTAAATACTTTAGCACATCGTAATCGCATTATCCATAAGATGCAACATTAACAAATTCTACGATCCAGTCTTCTGTTCATAAGA